TCTATCTTGAAGAGGATTTTCTTTTTCTTTTTAAGCAGGAGAGGTTCTTGGTATGATTGTTTCATGTATCAATACTTGGAAAAAAAATACATGTGCTTGTCTACTATTAACATGTAACTCAGCAGTCATCATGAACAAAAAACGCTGCTTGGAAAGACTGTCACATCCTAGATGTGAGATGTCTGCCCAGAGAGTTACATAAACAAAGAAGAGTTGGAAAGACTTCAGCGTAATAGCAACAGCAATGAAAATAAACTCTACCAAAGGGCACCAAACAAAAGCCTCACCTGGGCAAGCAGCCAAGGGAAGTTACTCAGACCGGGTGGAGCCTTTCCTGAGAGACCTCTGCTTCCGATGGGGAAAGCTTTCCCCTCAACTCTGAAGCTTTTCTGGTCCTTTTATCTAAGAATTCCACCCAGAGCAACAATTGTTAGGCTCCACGTTGCTCATCTCATCCCATACTGACACCGGTAAAACAACCCTCTTACCTCAATTCCTTGGCCCACACAGTAACCTCTGTTAAAAACCTCCATCTTCTTCCACCCTGCCCTCACCCCCACACTGGACGAAAAGCTATTTATCACTTAGCAGTCTAGGGGTAGTCTCTGCTTAAATGCCTGTACTTCACGAAGTCTTCCTGGCAGCCCAAATCCAAATCAGGTGACCCCAGCTCAGTGATTCTCATCCCTGGTTATATATTAGAGTCACCTGGTATACACTGGGAACTCAGCAAGGCCTAGTCTCCACTTTCAGAGATTAAAACTAAAGGTTCCTTTTGAATGAGCTGGGTGAAGCATCCCAGCATGTAGAGTTTTTAAAGTTTCCCAGGTGATGACAACGAACAGGAAATGGTATGAAGTGTTCCATGTGATCTATTAGCTCTCTGGACGTCCCTATCATGACACTTGCCAATTCAATTTACTCCAATATTAATTTGTTGAGCATTTACTGTGTGTAAAGGATAACTTAGTAAATAGTAAAATTGGATCTCTATTTTCTTTTTAAAGATTTTAATTTATTTATTTGAGAGAGAGAGAGAGAAAAAGAGTGCATATGGAAGTAGGGGGAAGGGGCTGAGGGAAAGGGAAAGACAAATCTCTAGCAGACTCCATGCTCTAGTAGAGTCTGAGGTGGGGCTTGATCCTGTGAACCTGCAGAAATCAAGAGTCAGGCACTCGGGATCCCTGGGTGGCGCAGCGGTTTGGCGCCTGCCTTTGGCCCAGGGCACGATCCTGGAGACTCGGGATCGAATCCCACGTCGGGCTCCCGGTGCATGGAGCCTGCTTCTCCCTCTGCCTGTGTCTCTGCCTCTCTCTCTCTCTCTGTGACTATCGTAAAGAAATAAAAATTAAAAAAAAAAAAAAGAGTCAGGCACTCAATGGACTGCACCCAGGCACCCTCAGGATCTCTATCTTCACAGAGCTTACAAAAGAGTAGGGAGACAAGTACTGAACAAATTATTTATGATGAATAACTTAAAGGGTAGCACTACATGGTATGATGGTCAGCTGTCACAAAAACAGTGATCTAGTGTAGTAGATTGAATTACATTTTGTAATTTCCTATTGGAAATATAAATCTCACCTTTTACCATGTAACTTTGCAGTATCCTTGTCCATGGGGCCCTTTCCTGCTCCATTGACGTTGAGTTTGGTCATGAGGCTTGCTTTGGCTGATGGAGAATGAATGAACATCACAGAGCAGACGTTTTGTCTGCCCCTGAATCTGACATTTTGTGTTCCAGTGATCCACCATGAGGAGAACATGCTCTGAGAAGTCTGTGCCCCAGGGTAAATGCAAGTGTCTTAGACTTGAACCAAAATCACAGTGAGGAATCAGTGCCAGCCATCCTTTGGCCTGATGCAGAACCTCCCAAAAGGAGACCAGCCTGGATTGAAATTATGGAGAACCTGCAGACTCATGTGCATGAGAATGCTTGCTTGTAAGTCATTGAGTTTTGGAGTGGTTTGTTACACATTACTGTGGCAATGGCTAAGTAATATAACAGCCTGGGGTTCAAGCCACACTGCCCTTGCCTAAATAAGCAAAATATTGTTCATCATTGTATTTCCTGTTCCTATCACACTGTATGATATGTAGCAGGTGCTCAAAAAAAAAAAAATACGTGTTGAAGGAATGAAAATACGGTTCCTGACCTTGGTGATCTCATAGATGCAAGGCAGTTCTGTGAACAAATAGTTACAGTGAGAAGTGATAAATGCAGTAATAGAAGAGCTATTATAGCATGGAAGTAGAAAGCCTTCATGAGTGTGTTACCTACACCAAGGAAAGTGTCAAAAACCAAGCACTCAGATTTGAACATAATAAGAACCACTTATTCTATCATCAGAAGCTTTTTATTAAACTTACTGGTGCAAGCTGGCCTACTTTCAAAGTCACATAAATAGACTTGTAGTTCTTACCATAATGCAATAAATTATGTGGTTAAAGATTTTCAACATATGTACTGAATAAAACGAGATATTTATAATCCATTGCATGCAAATTAAAAGGGCAGGGGACTTGGAGGCAGGGTCTAGTGAAATGACATATCAGAGAGTAGTAGATTGGAACAGGTGTTTACCCAAAAAAGGCAAGTTTTTACTTTATGAATCAAAATGAGAACTCATGAGAAACTGGACAGAGGGATGGGGAGTAAGAGTTGGAAGGAGGAAGTGAAGACCGCAGTACAGGACTACGTCCTACTTCTTATGAAAAATAAAGGGCCTTCTCAAATAACCAGCGACCAGCCTGTGTATTCTCTCTTCTGACTGAGAATTCTACCTGACCTCTTTGCAGGTGGCCCTGTGAGAGTTTATTGATTCTTAACTTGATCATCACAAATGTGATGTCATTTTTTTAAAGGTAAAAGGAAAGTAATTAATCAATCAATTATTAATTAAATCAGAATATATTTGACATGTGACACTGTAAATTCAAGGTGTGTTGTCATTCTTTGTTTTTTATTTATTTTTTATTTTTTAATTAATTAATTTATTTTTTTAAATTTATGATAGTCACACAGAGAGAGAGAGAGAGAGGCAGAGACATAGGCAGAGGGAGAAGCAGGCTCCATGCACTGAGAGCCTGATGTGGGATTCGATCCCGGGTCTCCAGGATTGTGCCCTGGGCCAAAGGCAGGCGCCAAACCGCTGCGCCACTCAGGGATCCCTGTGTTGTCATTCTTGCATGGGGAAGGGAGAGATGCTTAAGAAAAGTTATCTCCAGGGAAGAAATAGCAAGATATTTTCATGGGCTGAGCACATCAGCATTTGCTGGGTTCAGTTGGTTGGCTTCTCACTGGGACCTGCCCTGCAGGCCTTTAGGCCAACTCTTTGTCGTCTTCTTCTTCTTCTTTGTTAAAAGATTTTATTTATTTATTACTGATGACAGTGAGAGAGAGAGAGAGAATGGCATAGAGGGAGAAGCAGGCTCCATGCAGGGAGCCCGACATGGGACTCCATCCCGGGTCTCCAGGATCAGGCCCTGGGCTGAAGGCGGTGCTAAACCGCTGAGCCACCCGGGCTGCCCAACTCTTTGTCTTCTAAGAAAGTTACTCTCCTCTGTCTTCTTTCAATCTTCCAAGGAATTTATTAAAATCCCTAATTTACTGAGGTCTCCTCTCAATCTATTTTTTCCTTGTGAATTAGTGCCCTCTTCCTGAAATTTTAATGGGGTTTGGGGAAGCAGAAGGCTAAAGTGTGAGTAGTCAATCTGCCATTTTTTATACCAGAAATCCATAACATTGTTCATTATGACTAACAATTGCAAGCAACATGCATTTCCCTAAACCAGGAAGTTGTTGAATAAATCAGGTGTATGGGTATGCTGAAACAATATGCAGGCTCTAAAAATCATTTCAAAGATTATTTAAGAACAAGGAGAAATGCTCAGAATAGAAAGTGATTACAAAAGTCAGGATATAGAATTCTCTGTATTGCCTGACTCCCATGTCAAAATAATAGTTGTTAACACATTTGGATAGTGGATTGTAGTGAATTTACTTTATTTCATCGTTTTTGCAATTCACGATATCAGATTTTTCTCATGTGTTACTTTTGTCATCTTAAAAAAATAAGTTTTCCAATCTTTTCTTCATATCTACTTTTTCAGAGAGACTTTTATCTTGATTATAGATATTATTATCTCTTGGTGAGTAAAATGATTACAATTTGATTATTTTACTGTCCAATTTCCAGATGAATTGATAACATTTTTCTCAAGGCCTCAACTTCCCACAATTTATATGTTTAGAAGTCTCCAAGATACCTTTTCCTCTGGGACATTTTGCTGCTTCACACCACTTTCTAGATAAATAAGACGTGGTAGGGTCATGGAAAGGTCTTCAAAATTATGCATTGCTAACACAAATACACTTTTTCAGTCATTTGCTCTTACGTGTGTGACTTGGCACAACTATGTATGAAAAACATTCACATTTCACCTGTATTAAATGTTATAAATTACATTCTCAAAAGTCCCTGAGGTACACTTAAGAGTCACACTAATACTTTAAAACAGAATGACCAAAGCAGGAAGATGCATCCCTAAATAAGACAAGAGGTTGTGCTTAAAGTCTCACCATGAGACATTTCATTTTTATTTTGAACCTGTGTGCAATGATTTGTTCATTTTTAGGTTTTCAGATTTCAAGCAAGTCTTCTAAATTATAGAGGTAAGAGTAGTAATGTTTTTGTCTAGGTTGTTACTTTTCACAGCTCGAGTGAGAAGTATATCTATAGTCAATTAACTTAAATGTCATGATGGTTCTTCTTATTCTCCTCTTCCTCTTCCTCCTTCTCCTCCTCCTCCTCCTCCTCCACCTCCTTTTCAGAGTCTATTGCCCTTTAATGCAAATCCAAGCTTCTTTCCATGTTCTTCACGGTCTGTGTTTCAAACTGTAAAGGTAATGTGAGAGGAAAGAGCAGGGTGAGTGAGGGTCTTGGTGGGATGGCCAGAGATGGCTTCTTCCATGTGAAAGATAGGAATAGTGTGGTAGTGCTTGGCTGGCTCAGTCGGTAGAGCATGAGACTCTCAATCTCAGGGTCATGAGTTCAAGTCCCACTTTGAGTATGGAGCCTACTGAAGAAAAATAGTGTGGTGAAGAACTAGGGAGCTATGATGTGGTAGAGCTTGGCGTTTCAAGGAAAGGAGAGAAAATCACCGTGGCTGAAGCACAGGTAGTAAGGGAATGAATGGAGAATCATTCAGCCTGTGACTAGAGAGGTTGTAGCTTTTCCACATAACCAAGATCTCTGACTTGGACATTATTTACTCCTATGTAAAGTGTCAATCCATGCCCTGTGTTCCTAAGAGTAAATGCCACATGCCTCCTCCTGCCAGCTTTGTTCCCAGTAAGTCTGCGCTGAGGCAGGTGAGCAAGAGACACTGGGGTACACTCTGGTTCCAGGACAGAGCTCCCTGTAAAAACCTTATCTGCTGGCTGAAGACAACTTTTGACTCAGAGCTACTTCTAACAAGCCTACAAGATCACCTGCTCCAGACTCTGTCAAGGAGAAATTTGGAGATAACTAGAAAAAACCCTTAAGGCTCATTCGGTAAGTATGCAATCCAATTTGTGAGAAATTCGTGTACTTCACCACACAGGGATAGGATGAATGAGTGTAAGACATGGGGAAAGAAAATTTTAATGTCCATATCATCTACTTAACTGTAAATTCCATTAAGGAAAGGACGATGGCAAGATTTGCTTATCACTATATCAGTGAAGCCTAGAAGAGTTCCTGGTACATGGCAGATACTAAAATAATGTTTGCGAGATGAATGAATAAATAGCTCATTGCAGGGCCGAGAAGGCGCAAGATGAGTCTGGATCATCCTGCTATGCTGGAAAGTAAGGAAGTGATCTGAAAATGCATGGGCATAGTAAAAGCATACAGAAGCCAGCTTGAAGAGGCTTTTGCTGGCCAAATCGCAGACAATTTTAAGCATCAAAATAAGTAAGGTCAGTAACCCAGTGAGTAAAATAGGAACCTATGATTCTATATTGACAATAATTAGATAGTAAAAAAAATTGAGGAAAGGGAGGGTTCTTCCTTAAAGGATAATTCAGACAGATAAATGTGGGTGGAGCAGTAGAATTAGAAATTCACCATTTTTAAATTGTCGTATCAAAGATTGATTTGGGCGAGAATCATCAATGGATGCTAATTAGGGGAAGAGTGTGATGAAGACCAGGATACTTATATGTACTTAACACGACTACCTTCAGAATGCTTATTAGTTGCAATGATAAGTGCCAACTAATGACATGACTTAGATTAAATGTACTCTAAATTCAATGTGTGATCTTAGACTGGATTCTGCACCGGAGGTAAAAAAAAAAAAAAAAAAAAAAAAAAAGTTTAATTTAAAGGACTTGATTAGCACAATTGACAAAACTGGAATATAGTGTCAGTGTTAAATTTCCTGAAGTTGATTACTATTCCATGTTTCCATAAAATAATAGCTTTATTCTTAGGAAATACATGTTGAAATGTTAAGGGATAAAAGAACATGATAGATGTAACCTATCCTAGGGAAGTTCAGAAGGGAAATATTATACATAAACACATGCATACAGAGAAAGAGATAACAACAAATATGGCAAATGTTAAAATTTGTGTATCCAAGTGAGGGTATTATGCTCTGCATTATTTTTGTAACTTTTCTGTGAGTTTGAAATTATTTCCAAATGAAAGGTTAAATAATATAGCAAATGCATAATGCAAAACAAAATAATGTCAGAAAGGGTACAAGTCAAGTATTACTGCTGGTCAAATAATGGGAGAAATTTTGACCAGAGGAAATGAGAGAATGAGGAGGTCTTAAAGTCAGGAACAAACAAACAATCAAAAACTCCAAAAACTTCAGAGCAAAGGTAGGAGAAGGGATAATAAAGGTATAAGGGAGAAAAGAGTCCTGTTTAGCTAAAGGGTATGAAATTATAGAGATAAATCAACAATAGTAATTCGGAGATATTTTGTGAGAGGATATCTTTATCCAAGTGCATATTATCAGCTCAAATTCATGCAATGATATTATTAATAATGCATCCCATCTTAATGTATGACAAATTTCAATAAGAGCCATACAGTAATTTCTGCTAATAAGATTTCAGAGAAGAAAAGATTATTTCTAGCTCTTTCTAAATCTAAATAAACAATAAAATAAAGAAGTCCAAACTGCTGTTTGTATATTTAGCTATGAAACTAAAACCCAAATAAGCCGCTCAGAAAATTAACCACAACAACAACACAGAGACAAATTATTACAGTGAGTTTGGAATTCAAATTCCCTCCAAAATTTCATTTTCTACAACAGTTTGTTAAATTACTGAAGAATTATTTGGAAGAAGGTCTGCATTTGCTGATCATCGACGTCTCTTTTCTTTCCTCGAGTTACTTCAGCCTGCACAATCAATCCTTTATTCGGCTTTTAAATGAAAAATTAATTCTCATCTCAAGCCTCCCCTCTTTTCGCTGAAAGCTCCTTTGCAGCCTGCAAAATACTCTGGGTAGCCAGCTGCATGCTGACTCCTCCACATTCTAGGCAAGGAACACATTCAGCCTGGCCCTTGTGGGAGTTATCAATTGACCCAAGGAGAGAGTGTTTCACAAGATCAAAGGCAGCTGTGAGGTCCGAGGGGGCTGAGGCTAGCACAGAGGCCAGGAGGCTTAGCCCCTCAGGAGGACGTAATTGGTAGCTTTGTGTTTCAATGGAGTGAAGTGGGTAAAAGCCGGATTAGAGAAGGTCAAAGAGAGAATTGAAGGAAAGAAACTTGGGGGAACAGGTGTGAACTTTTGCCTAAGAAGAACCACTTAACCAAAAGAACAAGGTTAAGGGGAGAAGTAATCAAAGCCCGTGGAGTTGACAGGGGATATTGTGCTCTCCCAGGATGGAGCTCAGAGTCTGGGCAAGATGAATGTAAGGGAAATGTGGTCCAACCAGATGAGGGGGTTGAAAATGAGGGCTACAGGAAAAGCTACTGATTATGAAACGGAGTTGGGAGAATCAGACCTGGGGAACTTGGACCCAACAGAGTGTAATAAGAAGGGCATTTAAATCCATATGTCAGAGTGGTTAATGGATTAGAAGCTGTGAAAAGTACAAGTGGGACAAGGATAAAAGAGGAAAGAGTGTTACTAAAGAAAAAGGAACAGAGGCTTCCAAGAGGAAATATTTTATGTTAAAAACAGTGGCTAAGCCAAAAAATGGGAGCTCAGCACAGTGTTTAGGTGCCTAGAAGATTTGTTATTCAAAAAAGTGTTAATCATAGAATGTTGGCTTCGTAAAAAGACAACGTTTAACATACATATAAAAACGTAAGGTATGTGCCCATAAACCTACCCCTTACCTAAGAACTAGAACATTATCGACACCAACGTGAAAGGAAAGCCTAAGCTCTTTCTCCTGACTCCTTGCATGAAGGTAATGCGAATTCATACATATGGGGCTTAACCATTCCTTTTTTTTTTTTTTTTTAAGATTTTATTTATTTATTCGAGAGAAAGAGCACGAGCAGGGGCAGAGGGAGAAGAGAAGCAGATTCCCACTGAGCCGGGAGCCTGATGGCAGGGATCGATCCCAGGACTCTGAGGTTATGACCTGAATTGAAGGCAGATGTTTAGCTGACTGAGCTACCCAGGTGCCCCTAACCATTCCTTTAAAAATTTTTTTTTCATATATGTATACTTCTCTCAACATGATAGTGTTTAGTTTTCCTTCTTTTTAAGCTTTATTAGTATGATACTGAAGTACCACTGTTTGTAGTTTTATATACTTTATTGCTGATGTTTATGTTTTGTATTAGTCAAAGTTCTCCACAGAGGCAGACCCAGTAGGGGATATTATACATATAGATACATAAAATTTAAGGTAAAAACACATTTTTATACATATTTAGATTATGTTATATATATATATTTTAATTTTTATTTATTTATGATAGTCACACACATAGAGAGAGAGACAGGCAGAGACATAGGCAGAGGGAGAAGCAGGCTCCATGCACTGGGAGTCCGACGTGGGATTCGATCCCGGGTCTCCAGGATCGCGCCCTGGGCCAAAGGCAGGCGCTAAACCGCTGCGCCACTCAGGGATCCCTATTATGTTATATTTATATCAATTGCTGTTAATATCAAAATAGATACGTTTTAAGGAATTAACTCCTAGGACAGTGGGGACTGGCAAGTCGAAAATTTGTAGGCCAGGCTGGAAGGTTGGAAATGGAAACTCAGGCAGGGTTCCTACGTTGCAGTCTTGAGGCAGAATTCTTTCTTTGAGAAACCTCAATCTTTGCTCTTAAGGCCTTCTACTGATTAGATAGGGCTCACCCACATTATAGAGGGTAATCTGCTTACATTAAAGTCTACTGATTATAAATTTTCATCACATCTAAAAGGAACTTCACAGCAACATCTAGACTAGTGTTTACACTAAATAATTGGGCATAGCCCATAGCTTAGCCAAGTCGACATGGAAAATTTACCATCACATATTTCTAAAATTCACCCTTACTCTGCGTAGCATTAGTTCGTGTCCACTCAGTCACTACTTTATCATTTCCACATTCCCTTGTCAATATACCTTGGGTATTTCCATTTCTCTGGTGTTATAAAGAAAGCTGCAATAGACATTTGCATGCATGTCTCTTTGGGCACATATGCAAGAGTTCCTCAAGACTCTAGGAATGTGATTGCTGGATTGTAGGCATAGGACATAAATTCAGCCTCAAAAGACAGTGTTCAAATGTTTGATTGTATCAACCTACATTTCTCTTAATACATCTAAGTAGGCGGAGTTGTGGTTTTCAATATTCAAGTTCCAAGAATGGGTTTTGATACATGAAAGTAGTCAAATTCACTTGACAATTTGATCTGTATCCACTTTCTCTGCCCCCCCCCCATACATCCATACTTACTCCTAGACTATTTAGAAGCTGGTGAGGCAAGCTTTATGAGAAGATTTAATGAAGACGTTGTAAGCCACTCTTTCCTGCACCAAGTATTTAGTGAGTATATGGTATGTACCCAGCACTGCGCTAGGCATTGGGCAGAGCATATAATAGGTGC